CACAGGGCCGGCGCAGCACAGATGGAGCAGGACCCACGTCAGAGCCCCATCTTTAGCGTCTCAGACAGGAGAAAACTCCTCAATGAGTGGAGTGACGCACCGAGAAAGCACAGCCTCACCCGCAGCACATCAGCCATTCTGGAGCTACAGCTTTCCGATGGAACGGATTGGGGGTGGCGATCATCTGAGGCGAAATCAGCCCTTATTCATCCCCGGAAAAGTCTGTTATGAATGATGAGGGTTATGAATGATGGAGCTCAGGAAACACGGGAGACCACGCAGGGCCCAAAGATGACTGTTAGAGGGGCCTCATAAGAGAAAACACGATGCAAGGGCAAATCTAGAACACGGTTTTATTGGAACTTGTACTTTCAGTACCAGACATGACAGAGACTTTGGCTACAGGGAAAGCATACGTCCCGAGGACGACACAGAGGTGCACATGTAACCGCGGGGACTACTCTGTGCAGGAGAGAAACTGGGCTCTGTAATTCTTAGCAGTTTCCTTTCTGTGGGGCTACCATGCCTCTTTCTTCTCTTTCTTCAGCAAAGTCTTGGCCTTGGGTCTGCACATGTGCGTCATCTCTTACTGGTGGTGTCAGGTGGGCCGGAGACCACTTGCCCAGCAACAGGCTGGTGACTACCCTTACGTTCTGGCCACTGGCAAGCATGCCCCAGGGGAATGCCGCTGTGACTGGCTGGCCCATTCATTTATTCGTTCATTCTACAAGTACCTTTTAAGTACCTGCTCTGATCTCCACCTGGCACTATTATCTATGCCAAAGAACAAGGACAGGGAAGGAGGTCTCAGCAGCAAATGGCATGGCAACTTCAGGGAAAAGAGAGGGGAATCAGGAAAATAGTAGCATCTTCGAGTGTCTGTGTCCCAAGGTTTCAGGTTGGAGGGGGCTTAGGAGAGAGCATTGGGGAGGGAAGGAGAAGAAACTCTGATCTGTCTGCCACGTGTCAGGCCCAAATATGATTTCTCAGAGCAATCCTGCAAGCCTGGCACCCATAACCTCCCTTTGTAAATAAGGTAAGGCACACGCACAGCCAGTAAGTGGCAGAGCTTTCCTTGAAGCTAGATCTGTTCACTCCAAACCCCACTGTCTCCCAACAATCACCAGGGAGAGAACTAGTCCTTCAGCACCACTGTTCTCTGGGGATGTTTCCAGAGATTCCGGGGCCAATAAGAGGCCCGTGGTGAACTGGGAGGGTGAGGGGATGGAAAGAGAGAAGCAGGCTGGCTTTTTTTTTTTTTTTTTTTTTTTTTTTTTAACGTCTTATTTATTTTAATCTTTGCCCGAGAATGTTTTTCCATTGATTTTTAGAGAGAGTGGAAGAGAAAGGGAAAGGCAGAGAGATCAATGTCAGAGAAACACAGTGATTGGTTGCCTCCTGCACATGCTCAACCAGGGCCCCGGCCTGGGAGGAGCCTTCAACCTTGGTACGTGCCCTTGACGGGAATTGAACCCAGGACCCTTTGGTGTATAAACCGATGCTCTATCCACTGAGCCAAACTAGCTAGGGTTAGGCTGGCTTTTGAAGACTCTACTTCAAGGAATTGGAAAAGGCACACTCATTCACTCCTCCATCCATTTCCTAAATCTTTGTTGAGCCCTATGGAGTGCCAGGCACTGTGCTCCAGTGCTGGCAATGTGAGTGAATAAGCCTGGCATGGTCCCTGCCCTCATAGAACTTCCGTTCTCGGAGGCAGCCGTCTAGCAGGCCCTGCCCTTCTGCCTTTCTCTCAGGTGCTCATCTTTTTCATCACAGTAACAGCCTGCTGACCTGGCCACACGGGTGGGCCTGTTAGGCACTTGGAGAGCTGTCTCTGTCCCACATGCTAAGCACAGGGGAGAATCACATACCCCAGGTCCACAGGCTGAGAGTGACTTCTGGGAGGAAGATGTCACTAAGACCTGGAAGAATAAGTTCCAGCCGGGTGTGTGCTGAGAAGCACCTTCCAGAGAGAAACACGCTAGGAGGTGTGCTAGGGACGGAGCAGAGTGAAAGGGGCTGGAGGACAGCCAGTGCCGTGTTTGTGAGGAGCACAGAATAGGGGGTGGAGTGAGGAGAAGAGGGACCCAGTCAACAATGGCCCTTAAACTGGGCCCTAAGAACAATGAGGACTGTGAAAAATGTTGGGTTTGGAAGATTACCCCATCAGGTTTGTAGTTTATCCCCTCATTCAGAAGCCCAAGGCTGCAACAGTGAGGAGAGAGCTGATCAAGGATCTGTTAAATTGGTGCAGATGTGGTTACAGAGTGAGAATGTGAGTTCCGTCTTTTTTTCCTCATGAACCAAGGTTCCCAAGAGATGCAGTGAACAGAATTACTATAGGTGGCCTCAAGAGCTGAAGGAGAGTTCATGGTTCCCCAGAAATTTTGGGATAGTTGTGCATGAGCAGACATCCCCCTCTTGTGGCCGAAAGAAGTATTGCTGTTGTGTTCACAAACAGTCCTGCAGGAACCTTGGTTCTCCCTGTGAAAGCCAGGTGAGAAAGGAAGTTGGGGCTGCAAGTAGCTGTGGGACCAGGGGGTTCCCATTTTTTTTTTTTAATGTGAATATATATATGTACACACACACACACACACTGAATATACACACACACACTGAGTGGCCAGATTATTATGATTTGGCCACTCAGTGTATGTGTATGTTGGTGTGTGTGTACTCGTACATTTTTTTTTCATATTTTTAAAGTTTCTGTTATAGACATGGATTACCTTTGTTAAAAAAAAAAAAAAAAAAAAAAAAAAGAGAGAGAGAGAGGAAAGGTATCACGTCACAAACCTGGTTGGTTACAAAGCCACGAAGAGAGGGTCTGTTTTGGGGGACCAGACTTCCTGAAGGATGCCTTACCCACTCTCTCGAGCCATGTCCTTCCTTCCCTTTCAGATCACACCCCAGCCTGTCCTGCCCATGGTCTTGGCGGTCCCTTTCTCTCATGTGTTTACCTTTTACTCATGAAAGTAACACCTTCCTGACCTAGTCACACCGGTGGGCCTGACAGCGGTTCTGGGGGATCTGGAAGTCTGTTCTACACTGGAGAGTTCTAGCCTGTGTGGCTCTCATGCTGAACCAGGGCCAGGCCTGCCGCATGTGCTGCATCTTTGGGGCCTTTGCCTGGATAGCTTTTCTGATTTTGAACAAGGGGCTCACCTGGCCTGCAGGTTTTGTCACTCTCGTCACCTTCACAGATTGTGTTTCTCCTGCTTGAAACTCTTCAAACTCTTCTCATGAGTGGGGAAGTGCTTGACCTGCCCTCTGGAAGGTTCCCTGATGCTGGTCTAATGTACTGGAACATTCTGAGCTGTATTCCAGCACTGGTGCCTGCAAAATTTCACTGAATCTGCAAGAGCTACTGGCGGAACTTCTTCCAGCAAGTTCCTGGTCTGAGCTGAACTCCTTGCCCTCAGTCCTGAGGTCACCAACTGAAATGATACACAGAGCAAAGTAAAAAGCTATTTAAATAAAATCCATGCCCATCATAGGGGATCGATTACATAAATAATGGCATGTGATATAGCAATAAAAATGAGGTTGTAAAATAATAAATGATCCTTCATTTTTAAAAAAGGTATAAATACTATGCATGTAGTAAGATTTTAAATTGCTTTTATTCTTTTTTAAAAAATATATTTTTATTTTATATTGATTTCAAAGAGAAAGGGAGGGGGGAGAGAGATAGAAACATCAATGATGAGAATCATTGATTGGCTGCCTCCTGCATGCCCTGTGGATCGAGTCCAAAAGCCAGGCATATGCCCTGACCAGGAATTGAACCATGACCTCCTGGTTCACTAAACCACATCGGCTGGGCTACTTTCATTTTCTTTTTAGCCATATTTGTATTTCCTATAATGAGCATGTATTACTTTTATAAGAAAATGTCTCAAATTATTATTTTACACACTTGGAGAGTGGATGAGGAAGAAGCAGGGGACCAAAATGGTAGTGGTGTGACAGGAGGGGAAATCTGAGAAGTCTGGAAGAGTAAGTTGAGTTCTCCCGGCCACACAGGAGAGGATGTTGCTAAGGAAGGCAGCTAAGAAAGTTGCTCCAAGGTGCCAAGGTTAATGACCTCCAGAGTGAAGTCCTGGGTATCCCTTGGGGGGTGGCAGAGGATGCAGGCTTGAAGTAAACTCCAAGAAGAGGTAAAAAGGAAGGGGCCCAGGTAGAGGAAAGAAAGCAGGATTGAAGGTGTGGTCCTGTGTTGGTTAAAGAACTCATACACATCTTAAACAATAATTTAAAAATAATTTTATACGTAAGCACTTTGTAGGTTACACTTCTCATTTGCTTTCTCCTCTATTACTTTGATGCTCGCAGATGAGGAAACAGAGGTTCGGAGAAGTTAAAGAACTTGCCCAAGGTCACACAGTACACAGTGGAGCCAGGACCTAAATCCAGTTGGTTCCAGTGTTCATTTTGCTGAGTTACGATACTCAGCTTTCTTTCATGACCATGGGCAGTGACGGTGAATAAGGGCGTGAGGCCAAGGAGGGCATTACATCGAACACTGACTGATTAGAACAGATGCTGGTCTCATGTGCAGATCCAGAGGCAGGGGCCTGGATCCTCCTATCGGACCCAGTGAGAAGCATTAGATGCTGGACCTCAGAGAGGTCCTGAGGGTTGGGGGAGGGGCAGGTAGTAGGAGGGGAGTTACTGGGGTGGCCAAGGTGGCTATTAGGGGACACAGCAGAAACCTGATTAACAACTAGTCCAGAAGCATTTCAGTACTTTAACAACCCATCCATCTGTTCTGGTGGGCACCAGGTTAAGTGTCATCCCTGCCTCTGGCCTCCCCTGGTTTTAAGTCCCAGAGATCCAACAGAGACAGGAGACAGAGGCTCCAGAAGCTGTCCAACGTGTTGCTTATTTCAGTGGGGGGAGCTGAAATAAGGACACAGAACAGGAAGAGACTGATGTTCTCCCTGAGGTAGGAGTCCATGGGCACCTACAAATTTGTGAAGTCAACTTTTTTTTTTAAACTATTAATTTTTATTCAAATTCATCATATCATTGATTGGCTTTCTGGGAAAAATTTTTATCCCCACAGGTTGGATCAGGACACTTCCTCTGGGGACCTAGTCCTCTTCTCCAGGCTGGGAGCCCCAGGGCATCTGCTGCCCCTCTGGGTCTCTGGCCCAGCCCTGTGGGCACACAGCCCTCAAGGACACAGTCAAGCAGTGCTTGGGAGAAATGAGCCGTTTGGGCATTGCTCTGAGGTGGGGAAAGTGTGCACCTGCCCCATGAGTGCCTGCTGGCTGGTGGCTTTCAGCACGCCCACTCCCATAAATGCTTTGTGCTTTGCCACTGCAGGTCCCACAGCACAACCCACAGGGTCCTTAAAAGTCATCATCATCACAGATGTCAAGGTACACGTCGAAAGCCTCTCTGTTGCAGTTCCCATCAGGAGTGAAGACGTATTTGTGAAAGGTCCCGTCTACACAGATGGCAATGACAGAGTTGACATTCTTAGAAGTGTTGCGACCGAAGGCGCAGATGCAGGCTGACTCAGCGGGCACTGTGAAACTCGCCAGGCTCCACTGAGAGTCCACGTACTGTCCAATCATAGGCCCGACTCTGCCCACCCGAGCAAGCGCCGAGCGGCGGTTGAGGCGGGGATCCTTGAGGGCAAAGATGTGGACCGTGCCCTTGTCACTGGAGGCGCACAGGAAGGAGGAGTCGTGGCTGAAGCTGATGCAGTAGAGGGTGGCAGGGCCGGTGCCTCGGCGCAGCTCCACCAGCTTCTCCTTGGACTGCGTGTCAGTAAGGCGGATGAGGGTGCCCTTCTGGGAGGCCGAGGCCGCCACGGTGCCCGGCGGGTTCAGGGACACACAGGCCACGTCGCTCTGATGGGCGTTGATGGTAAATGGCGCGGACGAAGTGCCTGGCTTTGCGCTCGCCAGGTCCACGAGCTGCAGACTCCCGCGCTTGTGTCCTGGGAACACCAGCAGCTGTCTCTCCAGGCTGGGGCAGAGGTCGCAGAGCCCCTTCGGGTTGTCCCGGGTGTCGAACTCAAACAGCTTCCGGGGACTGCCAGGGAAGGAGTACACATAGATGCGGTTCCTCAGCACAACCACAATTTTGTCGTGTCGCATGCGCACAGCCAGCACTGCCTTGGGGAAGGCGAACTCCAGCACCAGCTTATCCTTGGAGTCCTTGCCCTCCCGGGCATCATCCCAGACCAGCACTGACCTCTCGGAGAACTTGGGACTGTCACCGCCGCCCACCAGGGCCAGCAGGTTGGAGCGGTTCAGCATCTCCACCAGGCCCACGCTGCCCACCTGCTCGTGGTCCAGGTGTCCCTTCTCCATCAACGGCTCCATGTTGTAGATGCGGACGCCCGTCTCCATGGCACAGCTAAAGCAGCTTTGGTCTTGGTTGAAACGCAGGCTGGTCACCCCTCGAAGTGGTTGCTGAGTCATGACTCAGGATTGCTTCCCTGACCTCCGCTCCCGTCTCCCGATCCTAGGCCCAGGTCTGGGTGCTGCCTGGCACAGCTTTCTGACCTCGTGAAGTCAACTCTTGGTTCCTTGTGCTTATGCCAAGATCCGAGGACACCACCGATCTAAAGCAGCAGCCTCCTAGTGGTGTTTCTTGGCTTTGCAATGAGTGTGCATTGTCCTGCTACAAAGGCGTGCTAAGTTCTGAGAACTTAGAGCAAACAGAACTGTGAGGCACTGACTCCTCTCACTTGTGCAGGGGAAGATTAAGTTTCAGGTAAACTTCTCATGAGCTTCTTTATGTTTAGGCACTTTCTGAAAACCATAAAATCCATTAAAAAAATTAAAAACCTGATTATAGAAAATTTGAGTCCCATTAAAGAGGATACAATAATACAATGAACTTTCACATATCCATCACAGTTTCCATAGCTCAAGGCCCCTTATTTCCTGCCATTCTTGTTTCTTCCACGTCCCATCACACTTCCTGTGTGTGTGTAGTACTTTAAAGCAAACCCCACACAGTATACAAAGTATATATTTTTTTCCTGATAGATAACTCAGTATGTAGCTCTAGGAGTTAAGAAAATTACACTTGAAAAAAAATATTTTTTTGGTTCTCACCTGAGGATATTTTTCCATTGATTTTTTTAAAGAAAGAGTGGAAGGGAGAGGCAGAGGCAGAGAGAGAGAGAAACATCTATTGATTGTCTCCTGCACGTGCCCTGAGCAAGGGCCAGGGATCAAGTCTGCAAGGGAGGTAGTGCCCTTGACCAGAACAGAACCTGGGACCCTTTAGTGAGAGGGCTGAGGCTCTACCCACTGAGTCAAACCTGCCAGGGCTACACTTGAACTTAAAAAAAAAAAAAATGTATGATAGTAGAGAGAATAGTTTAGTGATCTCCCCGTACCTATTTCCACCTCCAATAATTATTAACACCTGACTAATCTTACCCTTCCTCCCGGGTATTTTTCAAGCAAATCTCAAAACATCAAAACCATATAGTCTGCAGTATGTGTTCCTAAAACTATTTTCCTTTTTAATGCGCAAACCCATGGCATTACCCCAACTAAAAATTTAAAACAAATCCTTAATATCATCAATGTTCACATTTTTCTCATTTTTAAAAAATTCACAATTTTATGGTGGTTAGAATCATGATCCAAATAAGGTCTACACATTGCATTTGGTTGATTAGTCTCTTAGTCTACAGGTCCACTTCCCCTTAAATTACTTTTGTCTTGAAACTTGAACTATTTCAGTTGTTTGTTCTTAGAACAAAAAGACACTTAAATGCTCGAGCTTCTGTCCTGTGATCCACTCTGTGCTTTGTGCTGGAAATACAGGCGCGAGCGGACAACCAGGGCCTGACTCTCTCTGGGCAATTCCTCCCTCTCTCTCGGCCTAGTCCGCCATGTAACAGGTGGATGGGGGCTGGATGCTCTCTACTAAAGGCCCCTCTCTGACCCACCTGGACCCCCTCTCATCACTGTGATCCACGCCGAGCATATTCCCTGGAACTCTCCCCTGGACCCATCCGAGCGGGGCCAGCGCACGAACGACACTCCGCCTCTCCCGGAGGCCGTCTACCTGCCTAGGTGCTCGGAAGCCCAGGTAACGGCAGCGGAGCCTGCCCCAAAGGCCGGGAAATCTCACCACCCGCTGGGCGAGGAGGCTGCGGTCCGCTCTGACCGCGGAGGCGAGCGGTAACGGTAGCGGCTCGGACCTCCGGGGCGCGGGCCCGACCCCGCCCAACCGCTATCCCCGGAGTCCCCTGCGGAGGGCCGTTAGCCACGAGCTCGCGGCTCTGTGTCCCGGGCCAGCAGGTGACCGTGCGCAGGAAGCACCCCCTCTTTCTATTTCCCCCCCCCCCCCAACCCCAAGAAACACTCGGCTGGGCGGGGGCTCCGGACTACATTTCCAGGAGACTCCGGACACAGCACACTTCCGGTCGTGCGGCAAAAATAAAAATAAAAAAGGTAACTTGAATTGCCACAGAGACAAATCCCCGGGTATTTGGGCTTCTGAAGCCCTTGAACGGAGGGGCGGAGACAGAGAGAGGGATGAAGTAGGGAAGGAGAATGGGCTGTAAAGTTGGGCTGTAAAGCAACATTAAAGAGCACAACCCCTTCTGTTTACCTTGTTTCCACGGACGCTCTCGGTTCGCACGAACATCGCACAGGCCTCTGGGTAATGCAGGCGGCGTTGCCTTAAGGACTATGGGAAATGTAGTCACTGATTAACTCGCATTGTACTACCATTATGGAGACTTACAGCTGAACTTTGAAATATATTGCGGAATTCTCTTTTAAAATACCACAATTTTATTTCTATTTCCGTTTAGAAAAGAAATCCTTGTTGTTTTCACAATATCCAAACTAAATCCATTGTGCTCACTTAGGCCTGAGCATTTATTTGCAGGTAACTGACACGTCTGACTATGGCTTTGCACCAGGCCCGCATTCTGTCCTGAGCGGCAGCGCAAAGTCACTGCTACGATACAGGTGAAATTCTTTCACTAGCACAGTCCGTATAACGCCCAGGTCTGTATTAATCACGAGGGGTAACCTCTTTACCAGGATATTACTAGAATCTGTTGCCAAGGGAGTAACAGGAAAATGCACCTGCGATAAGCCAGGTTTGCTGAGCAAAGGGGATAAAATCCTTTCGTCTTGTCCACCCTAACAAGTTTTACCTTCCTGACATTTACAGAATCCGTGCCTTTCTCTTCATGCCAACACCCTGTGCTGTATTTCAGACACTGCATTTCCTGATCAACCTGTTTTCAGTTTTGTTCCCTTAAGTTTGTTCTCCACTCTGCCACCAAAGTAATTGTCACTGCTCTGCTTAAGGCTCTTCATTGGCTAACATAATCAAGTTCATACTCCTTGGTTGGCATGTGTATTTGACCTTAACTACTGTCTCCTGTTTGTCTTCATATACATAAGAACCATCCTTTAGGTCAGCGTTTTTTCAACTGGTGTGCTGCAAGAATTTTTAAAACATGCATTACCTATCTAGTCAGAGGCATTGACCTCTTTTCCCTTAGATTGTAAAAAAAGAAAAATACAACGGCCAATACATCAATAGCCATCCACTGTGAATGAATTAAAACTACACTACTATTTTTTTTTGTCAGATCAGCAAAAAGTATACTTTGGTGTGCCACATAATTTTAGTAATTAATTTATGTGTCTCATGAGATGAAAAAGATTGAAAATGGCTGTTCTGCAGCATGAATGGACCCGGAGAGCATTATGTTAAGTGAAATAAGCCAGGCATTGACAGAAAAATACCACACGATCTCACTCATTTATGGAAAATAAAGAACATTATAACCTGATGAACAAAAAGATAGATACAGAGGAAGTAAAGCACCGAAGAGACTATCAAATTACAGCAGGAAGGCTGGGGAGTGTTGGGGAGCGGGGAAAGAGATCAACCAAAGGATTGATATAAGCACAATCAATGGACACAAGACACTGAGGGGGGTGGGATGAGGGCATGCAACAGGAGGTAAGGGAGGCTGGGGGAAGATCAATGGGGGGAAAAAGGAGATATATGTACTACTATATGTAATAATTTAAACAATTAAAAAAATCACTGCTCTATATGGTTCTTCATCTCATGTAATTGATGCTTTAAAGCTATTGTCACTATTTTTGAAAAATTCAGGGCACAAATACATGCCTTTAACAGATGCACCCAAAAACGGGTAATAAATTCCAAATGTAGTTAGATTTGCAAAGTATTCTCTAAAAGCACTCGAAATAGGTTTCTATAAGTAGAGACCAAGTTCCTCATACTCTGATAAAATTAGAACTTCATTCCGCTGAACAAAATATTTTATTACATGATAAGGTTAACTCACACCTAGTGTTTTCTAGGCCTTGTAAAGTCACACAAAAGATTAAAAATAATAGTTATTGTATAAAGTACTTATTACAAAACTCCAGTAAGACTATAAATGTAAAATAGATGAGTGATTTTAACACAATATTTGAAATGTCTATGGTCTATAATTATGATCCAAAGAGCAGTAAATGTTGAATCATACTGAGGCTTTAGAGAAGGGAGGCATTCTCCTCCTCCTCCTTATTTTATTTTTTTTTTGCTGGCTGCTTGTTGTTTATTTTCCCTTGGTGCAAGACACATGTTTACAGGGTGTTAGGAAGGCTCACGTGTGGCTTAAGTAGTAAAGAGCAGGGCTCTGTCAACTTCCTTTTTGGTGCTTTGCTATTTTGACACTAAAGAACCCAATTGCTTCTGTTTGCTGCAGCCTGCCTTGTCTATGGGGGGCGGTTAGGACAGAGGAGGAGGGTGGTGAGAGGAGCTCAAAGGAGCCTAGAGCCTCTGGAAGTCTGGTGGCTGGTGGCAGCCACTCAGGGTGGGGGCCCAGCACTGGCTCTGTCGGACTGGCCGTCAGGCTGCTTCCTCCTGGCTTTCCCGAGCCAAGCCAAAGGTGATCATGCTGCGTGAGGCCGGAGGAGATCCTGCACGTCCTGGGGACTCCAACGCCGTGGCTGTGAACGGGAGTGGGGCCGTACTTTTAAAGCTATCAAAAAGCCTAGATAGGAATGAACTGCAGAGAGCAGAAAGATAGATGAGGTGTGCACACATCAAAGCATTAAAAACTTTCCCTTTGAAGTGGGAATACTTGGAATACACACAATTTCCACTGGCTTTTAACATAGGTAGGAAGAATGGCCGGTATCATAAATGTAGAAAATGTAAATGATAAAGCAGTTACGAAGTCATATAAGAAATATGTTATCTATTCTTAACATTCAAAAGCAGAATTTCCTCCCTCTTTATTTATTTTTTGTTTGTTTTGGTGTTTAAAATGTGAAATCATTCATTTCTTGCTCAAGGAGATAGTTCATTTGTTGAGAAAGCATCAGCCAAGGCCAGAATATGTAATTCTCGTTAATCAAGTAAGGGAGGCTGAAGTCAAGATTGAGAAGAGCCACAGTGCAGAGTATTTTGTTTTTTTAAAAAAATAATTTTTTAATTATTCTGCTGAATATTTTATTTTTTAATTACTTATTTATTTTATTTTTATTTTGGAGAGGGAGAGATAGAATCATCAATGATGAGAGAGACTCATTGATCATCTGCCTTCTGCATGCTCCCCCCTCCCCCCCTACACACACACTGAGCACTGAGCCTGCAACCTGGGCAAGCACTCTTGAATGGAGTCAAACCTGGGACCCTTCAGTCGACAGGCCAATGCTCTATCCACTGAGCCAAACCAGCTAGGGCCAGAATAATTTTCTTAAGGTACAAACGCAATCATCTTTTCAATAAGTATCAGAAATACTGTTTTTGTATTAACTCCTGTCCTCAGTTACTACAAAGCTTTACTCTTTGCTATAACAATTTAGCATACCCTACTGATGTAAGATATCCTACTGACATAACCTACCCTGCTGATATTGTCTTCTGGTGTTCCCCAGAAAGTATAATGATCTCTAGGAGCTTTCCTGAACAATTTTGAGATATGAGCATTCAAGTTGCAATGTAAGTGAATAAGTCATGCTTCACTTAACTACAGATAGAATTCCAGAATACTACTTGGTCATTTGATTGGTTCCAACAAATATGTCGTCCCATGCACCAAAAGGCCACTGGTTAAATTCCTGGTCAGGGCATATGCCCAGGTCATGGGTTCCATTCCCTGTTGGGCATGTGCCAGAGGCAACTGATTGATGTTGATGTTTCTCTCTTTAAAAAAATTTTTTATTGGCTTCAGAGAGGAAGGGAGAGGGAGGGAGAGAGAGATAGAAACACCAATGATGAGAGAGAATCATTGATCAGCTGCCTCCTGCACACCCCACACTGGGGATTGAGCCTGCAACCTGGCATGTGCCCTGACTGGGAATGTAACCATGACCTCCTGGTTCATAGGCTGGCATTTAACCACTGAGCCACGCAGGCTGGATGTTACTCTCTTATATTGATGTTTGTCTCTCTCTTCCTTTCTAAAAATCAATAAAAACGTTCTAAAATATAATAAAATAAAATAAACTTTTTTCTCAATTCAGGGTTGTACTCTGGCCATTATCAGCAATGAAAGCTGTTGGGTTAATTTTTCTATTGAGCTTTGGAATAATCATTAAAGATCAGATAAAAATAATTTATTTTTCTTTCTGAGCTTGTATTTACAGTAAGCTGAGCGTGGAGAATGAATTGGACAGGTCAGCAATGCCAAGAGATAAAGTGATCCTGCCATACATATACAAAGAAAGCTGGGATGGATGGAGGACACACATGGCTCTCAGAAATGTGCACGGCCAGCCCCAGTGGGAATGAGGCCAACTCAGCCTGGGGATGACTGGTTCCATGGGTCCCATGCTACAAGCCTTACCAAGTCTTACAGTTGGCTGGAGACGGCCAGTAGGGTGCCCATTGACATCTTGACAGAGATCAGGGAGGGAACCCAAGGACCTGCCCTTAGAACAGCTGCCCCACCCCAACAAGGGCACAAACACTGTCCAGACACTAATACCACATTAGGGAGAACGTAGAGGAAGTGGATTGTAATATCTTGAATAAATTAAATATTTATTAGAGACTGAGCTAACCCGAAAACCTTTAAATTGCAAGAGATGGAGATACAGTGGATTCTTACTATATTCTATAAAGTAATCACGAACACTGGAATAGCAAATACCAAAGCATTGCTCCTGGGGGGATACTGGGTTAGGTAAAGACAGAGAACAGATGGAATGATTCAACTCCTTGGGTGCCTGGTACCTTCGGGCAGGTGAGGAATATTTCTCAGAGGGCCACAGGGAGGAAGTATCAGCGGCCAGGTAAGATTTCAGATCTGCATGGGGAAAGAAGCTGA